TCACTGCATTTCTCAGCCACAGCTTAAGAATCCTGCCCTAGTCACATTGTATCAATCAATCAATCAATCAATATATAAGAAGAAATATTTTGCACAAAATAAATTAAGCCTGTTTTAGGACCAGCAATGATTGTAAAAAATTGTATGATGATTAATATCCCCAAACTGTCATTACCGGCACATCCAGACATTTTGATTACTAGTTTATTAGGTTCTTATGGCCTTAATACTTTTTTATATTTAAAGCAACTGTATGTAAATTTGTGTATTTTTGCAACTAAGGGTAAGTGAGTGGAATTTACTGTCGTAAATATAGCACTGTCCTAATTACATTTGTTGCCGCCATAAGGTGATTCCGTGCCCCTTCACCAAACTTTTTTTTTATTTTTTTGTTTATTGCAATTGAAAGAATAACAACAGTTATTAATTAACATGGGGCTAACGGACATCACATGAAGTTATACAAGCTACACAAATTAACAAAATATACCAACGATAAAGAAGAAAAAAAAAGAAAGGAAAGTCTTTTAAAGATAGCTTACAATATGCTGAAGAATGTTAAAAGTTTTAGAAGCCTTTGAGTTCAAAGGATTTGACATATTCTTAAAAGAAGTAAAAAGTGATTTTATATCAGATGAAAACATTCTAAAGTTAGGTTTGCAATGAATGGTTCTGGCTTTATGAAGGTGAAATGTACCCATAAGACAAAGCAATGAAACAATATGTTCCAGATTAATGTCCTTAGAATGAAAATCTGACAAAAAAAATGATAGATTCTGTTATTTCTATCATTTTGTTACAGCAGGAAAAAATTAACATGGTAACTTCTGACCAAAAAGACTTGGTTAATGGGCAATAATAAAACAGATGTAGAATAGATTCTTCATCAGTATTACAAAATGAACACGTTACAAGGGTAGTATCGATGAGCAATTTTGAAATGGAGTTCTTTAATTTTACTTGGGATAAATAGCCTGTGAGGAAAGGTCCATAAGTTTTTTAATTCAGAGTTCGGATAACAAATCCTATTCAGAGTTCGCATAACAAATCCTCCATTTAGATTGTGCTTTAGAGGGACATCCTGGAGTTGAAGAAAGAGCATTTCTAATAAAAAAGTTATTGCATTTTTTATCTAATACATAAACACCATTAAATGCAAGTGTAGGAAAATGGTTGTTTACACAGCCATAACATAAATGCGCTTTAAACAAAGTGTTTTAACTGACAGGGATACTTTTAGTCACCTTATTAAAATCTCTTAGTG